TTTTTCCAGTGAACTGGTCTTTACCCCTTAAAAAATGGGCACACGAGGGGAAGGCATGTATGGTTGCCCTCATCTTCCTGCCCCCCCCCCCCCCCCCCCCTTACTTTATTTATTTATTTATTTATTTTTTTTGCCTTGGAACCGCAAATGCAACATTTCTTACTATTATTTTTCAAGACACCTGATTTGAGCATCCTAAGGCTCTGAAAGAGGGGGACAAGCGAGATTGTGTACTGAGTGTGGAATGTAAGGGGTGGTGTAAGCGCATTGTTTGGAGCGAGGCATGCAGGAGTGGATAAATGGGGAGGCCCCCTGTACAAAAACGCGGGCGAGCCTGACACTTTTCAGCGATTGACTCGATTTTGTCTTGCTGCTGATGTTGTGTTTGCTTCCGCCTTATTGGCTAAAGTCCCTCTCATTGCCTCATTGCTCCGGTTTAGTGCGTTTGCTCGTGTGTGTGTTTTTTGTTTTGTTTTATTTTCTCGATGGGAGGTTGATTTGTGTTACGTTGAAGATTTCTTTGTTTCTCCTGTGCAGGGGTTTGGTTTTGTGTTCTTGACTGTGCTTGCAACACAAGCAAAAAAGCAAGAAGGAAAAATAAAAGGAAAAGGAGAATTACGACAAATACTGCCGTTAAATATTGTTGTTCTAGTTTTTTTTTTTTTTACAAAACGACATTGTTTTTGAGCGCATATATCTTGTTCTATTTGAAGGGGCAGTCATAACGGTGGATGCTGCGGAGCGGGAGTAGTTCTTCTGGTTGGTTACGTGCGTGGAACATAAGCACACAGCGAGCGATATGCGTGCAATAGAAAGCAATGTGACCATTTTATTTTTATTTTTTAAAAAGTATACTCTTTGACAAGAATCAATTAGACCGTCTTGATTTTTTTCATTGTGTCTGCATTTTTTTCTTTTTTTTTTTTTTTTCTTTTTTTTACGTACTTATATGTATTATCAATCAATTTGGCAGACTTCATATGCACATATATATTTGTTTCTTGGGGAGGTGCCGTCTGTGGGCGTTCCGTTTTTTTTTGTATTCCTCGCCTGCAGCGGGGGAAAAAAAATAAAAAATGATAACACTGTGTGCATAAGGCGTTGAATAGTAAGAAATAGTCCGTCTGCAGCTTTTTTTTTTTCTCTTTTCTTTTTTTTCCTTATCCGTGTGGTGATGCAAACAAACTCCATGTCCGCGCGTGCACCCACGAAAGGGAAAATATTAGGTGAGGTAAAGGTAGTTGTACGTGTTGCCTTATTTCTTTCCCCACACTCCACCTGCCCACAGAAGAGGGCGGGAAATACGTGGAGCTTTGAGTGTGATCCATCTCTGATTGTAGTGTGCTCTGCATAGTGGTTTTGAAGTGGAGTGGAGAGGCGCCTTTTTTGTTTTGTTTTTGCTTCCGTTGGCCTTGTTTGCAGAAAGGGGAGACAACGGTTGGTGCGGAAAAAGGACTCTCTCCGTGTCTTGCCCTGTGTCCGTCTGTGTGTGCGTGCGTGCGCGCGTGTGGGTTGGTAGAGAAAGGGCAGATACAAAGGAAAGAACAAGTGTTTATTGTTTAGTGACCGCACGAAAGTATAGTTTTTTTTTCTTGGCAAAAGAAGTGAAGGAACGTTCAGTGAGGTACTCAAGGCACAGGATATAGAGACAAGACGTTTTGTGGCGATCAAATGTATGAAAACGGCTTTTCAAATTGAAGGGGCCAGGTGAATCGCCTGCGCGATATTTGGGCAGTGCGACGGCTGCAGCCTCATCCAAACATAGTCCAGCTTATTGAGGTGATGTTTGACCAGTCAACAGGGCGTGTGGCGCTGGTGTTTGAATGCATAGAAGTGAACTTGTACGAAATTATTAAGGGGCGTTGTTAGTACCTTTTTTGAGGGTCGGGTGATGAGTTTTATGTACCAACTTCTCAAGGGACTCGACTATGCTCACCGCACGGGTCTGTTTTACCGTGACGTAAAGCCGGATAATCTCTTGGTGAAGGAAGATGGCACATAGAAAGCTGGAAGCTTTTGGGTCATGCAAAGGCGCATACTCTAGACAACCCTTGACAGAGTACATTTCAACTCGCTGGTGCCGCGCTCTGTAGTGTCTCTTGACGGATGACTATTACACGTACAAGATGGACTTGTGGAATGCGGGTTGAGCGTTTTTTTTTTTTTGAAATTACGGGTTTTTTCCTTCTTTTTCCTGGTAACAGTGAGTTACATCAAATTCACAAGATCCACAATATGATTGATACTCCGCCTTTTGAGGTATTAAATAAACTGAAGAGGTTTGGAACGCACATTGGCTTTGAATTTTCGCAGAAGCGGGGGAGTGGAATTGCGGAACTGCTGCCAAATGCTTCACCTGAGGTCCTCGATTTGTTGACGAATCGGTTGACATACGATGAAGAGCATCGGGAAACAGCACATGAGCCGTTACGTCACCCTTATTGTAAGACTTTGAGAGAGAAGGCTCAGAAAGCTAGACGTTTGTGATTACAAAAGGCTATGACGATGGGGGCTAAAGTGAGATGAAATATGTTCTTGCAGCTTGGCAACACGTGCTCCTAGATGCGTACTTACACAGCGTCTTAAGCCTTTTTTACTTTGGGGAGGGGACATGCCACGGGACTCAAACTACAGTGAACCCTGCCTCCTCATTGCCAAATTTGTTCGTGTAGAGTACTCTATTGGGGCGATGAGGTTTTATTTTAAGTTGCTGTTTTTTTTTTTATTTATATTTTTTTCTTTCATCTTTCTTAACAGATTTTTCTCCTGTTATTGCGCGTGGGTGTGCCTTGTTTTTTGTTTTTGTTTTGCTCTTCCCTTGCTTGCAAGTCTTTTTGTGTGCATATGTGTCTTTGTCGTTTAAGTACGTGTTATAGAATATAAATTGATCTTTATTACTGTATCTACCTGTATATGTAGTTGGCTATATGCCTTGTTGCTCCTGTGTGAGCTATTTCCACCTGGTTTCCCCTCACTTTACATTATGCGCGCGCGTGTATGTGCGATGTTACCTTTTTTTTTCGTAGGACTTTTTGAATGCTTCTGGATTTGACTGCAGTTGGATTTTTGTTTTCATACTTGACGCCAGCATGTGTGTCGTCTGGTGCGCTATCTCCGGTGCACCCCCATTTTTTTTTTTAGTCTCTTTTACTTTATTGAGCCGTCCACCGGCGTTGACGTTGTATTTGTGGGTGTTGTCTCCCCCTCGTTTAGTTGTTTGTTTTATTTCGTCGGGCATGCGTGCTTTGTTCGATGGTGCCGCTTTTAATGTCGTTGCATGTGTTTAGTGCTGGCGTACGGTGTGCACCTGTTGTTGCTTTACATTTAGTAAAGTAACAGGGAAGAGAGAGAGAGAAAAATAACGTCAGCAAAAGAATCCTGTGGAACTCTGAATAGTGAGGAATAACATTCTTCAAACGGGCTTGGGCCTCTTATATACCCCTCCCCCCTCCCCTCCACACACACACACACACACGCATTCTTTTTTTTTTTTTTACCTCGATTGTCTTTCTAGAAGTGTCGGCGCGAATACCGCGGTCCCCCGAGGTTTCTCGTCCATTCTTTCCTCCTTTCTGCACCTGAATGCTTCGCAGTTGCCTGCACGATGTGACGTGTTGGGGACGGCGCTTCATCTCTATCGGCGGGAGACGCACACGGGGTGGGTTTAGTCAGCCCATTGGGAAGCAGCCGCAGGTCAAGCAGGGGAAGACGGAAGGTGTGCCACGACGTATACCAGGCACCACAAAGGTTACTTACACAAATAAGAAGGGACGCACATTTACTTTTTCAGTTCCTGTTGCCGAGCTCACGCACCCGCAGGATAATATGACAAATTCTTTGGGAGGCTGGAAAGAAATAGACACAAGCTTCGTTGACGTAGGTGACATGGAGGACGATATGCCATCACCAGTAGATGAGTGTCTGCAGAAACCCATCGATGCCGCTTCGATACATGAGCTTCATGAGGCATTTGTTTCCCTTTGCAAAGAGTACGTTTTGATGGACACGACGGGTATGAAAAATATGCCGTGTTATGGGGAACTCAATGTGGGTCCTGACTATGAACATTACGATCGAAGAGTAAAACGGAAGAGGCACTGGCTTGCTATCCGTCATAGGTTTGAAGAGGTGCGGCGTATCCTCTGGCCTGACGAGGAAGCTGAGGCGAGGGAACCGCCACATGGGGCACAGTTGAGTGTTGGTCAGATGCTTGACGCGCTTAGGTGGGTTGAGGCTGCTTCTACCTTTTGTGTCCGAAAGGTGCATCCGGCGGACGTAATGAACGCGGAGGAGTTTTTGCCGCTTGATCTTCACCGCGAAGTGGCCATTGTGGCATGCCGCGCGCGAGGCGACCCAAGGCTTTTTAGTCTTTCTTCAAACGCACTGGAATTGTTTGTTGCATGTGCTGCACTTTGCGTCAACCACAAGGTGCCCTTTTCTTTATTTTTTGCGTCGGGCGACGACGATACTGATGGCATCACAGTGGGAGATGGAGATTGCATCCTTATGAATATGCCGTTTGTTCACACAACACTTGGAGCCATTCGCATTATGAGCCTTCTCGGTGGCGACAGCAATGCGTATGTATTCTCCAACATGGCAGGGGTGGTTGAGCGACGCGACATTTTTCAGGGGCTCTTACGATTGATGAGTGTGGAGGTGTTTGGAGGAAGAGATGCGTTAGAAAATGTGGGGGAAGACGAGATATGCATCATCATGCATTTCTGTGTCGAGGTCAAGGAGCGAAACGCCGCCTTTTTTGCACGTGATACAACCGACAACGAGGAGGAGGTGTCTTTTAAGGCAAAGTACGGACAAGTGTCCCAAATTGCTTTGGCGCGATGCAAGTATCTTCTATACCGTCTGGACGGTCCCCAAACACGGATTATGAGCGAGGAAGGTTATATTCCACTTGTGGATCTTCAACAACACGCGGAGCGAACAAATAAAGAGACTGTTGTTCATTATAACTTGGGCATTCGCAGTGCGCAAGGGTTGCGGCGTGTCGCGTTGGGCGCGCAATCATCCGCACGGTTGGCGGAACTTGTTGACAGACTTGAGTCACAAAACGTTCGTGTCAGCGGAAATACACTTTTGGTGGATTTGGTGCAACACTTGTCGCATAAAGCAGCAGCAAGTAAGGTGTCCTTGACCTTAAAAGAGGTGAACACGCTATTGCCCCTACTGGCGCGTATGCAAAGTGAAACCCCGACAAAGCAGTTGAATTCCCGTTTTGACAGACTGTTTAATGTAATGGAGACAGCGATAGGAACCGCCATGCAGCAAGATCACTCTGTGGAAGAAATTGTGGAGCTTGTGGAGGGCCTTGCCGCTTGTAATTTTGTGCCTTCCTCTTTTAAGCAGGTGGAGATGGTGTTGATGCGTCTGATGATGACACAGGCTTGTGGCTTGTCACAGATAATAGGCATTCTTACATCCTTGTCGACCTTGATGAATTCAGCAGTGTCTCAAGTGTTACTGCAGACCGCGGCGTCTCATGCTGTCGCTTATGTCAAATTACAAAGTGTTAAAGACGGTGACGTGGATCAACTCGTGAAGTTGCTGGAGGCGCTTGCGTCCTGCCGGTACGCCGCCCTTCCAGGTCTTGTCGTACATTGTCGAGAAGAGTGTTTTTCAGCTGTTCGCTCCTTTTCTTTGGACCAACAGTGTGGCTACGCTTCACTCCTTGCCTCTGCAGCTACGGGCATGCAAGATGAGAATAAGTCCCTCTCGCAACAACTGTCCAATGATAGCCGTCGCCATTTCATTGAATACACTCGAAACGCACAAGGGGATAATCTGGCTCGTTTTGTGGATTGCGTCATGGGGTTGGCGGCCGTCGGCTTAGGGGATACTGCAGAGGACGAGGAGATTCATTCAGTGCTAGTGTCATTTCTTTGTCGTTCCTGTCTTACTTTGGAAAGCTGCACCGCAATGTCGACAACGACGCTGGCCACACTATTGGAGGGTATCTTGTTGTGGTGCGCTGCTCTGCGGGTGCCGCCAAAGGAGTTTGTTGCTCCACTTGAAGATACTTTATTTATGAGGATTCGCGATTGCAACAATGCAGGTGAGACGTTAGATTTCTCGGAGGAATTAGCTGAAGTTGTCTGTCGTGTGGTGGGTTTGCAACTCGCTTCGGACGGTTTGCGTGAAGCGGCGGCGCAGGCTCTTGGAAGAGCTATTCTTCGTGCTGAATCTACTCCCGAAGCACGGAAGCCAGCGGCGCGAGAGGATCGTTCGTTTGAGGTGATGGCGTTAGTCAATGCAGAGCAAGAGAGTAATCACGTGAATACTGTTTTGCGTTATTGTGCAGCTCTACATCGAAGTGGCATGTCCCACATTGTGGAGGAACTGATGGCGTAGTGAGGAATAAGTGGGCTGGGCGAATAGCTGTCACTGCACGGGTAAATACACACCTCTACAACTATGCATCGCAATATATTAAATAAAACAAATGCGCGCACAACCTTGTGGGGTTGACATTTTATTGTTACATGTTTATTATCCCTTTGAAGAGCTGATCCAATGTTTCCCATGTTTTTTTCTTCTTTTATAGCTCTCTGTTTTTGTGCTGTGTTGCTGGCTCCTCTTCGGTACGGTTTCGGCTGCAGTTTTTTGGATTGTTGCGTGGCTGCTGGTGAAGTGATGGATTCTCGCGCTTCTACGAGTTTCAGACGGCCCTCAGCGGTCACCTCGCGATTGCGGAGTTTGACGCTCGCAAATGCGACTGGGACAGACTCGGACAGGAGGTTCTCCATTAGGCAGCGGTTGCGCGGGCCACGCACAAATAAAAATGTTTTGAGTAGTAACGCTGTGTATGCCGACGACTGTGGTCTCATGGTGTCGCTTATGCAAAAAGCATGCCCCACGTTCCCAGAGCGGGCAGGGTGTCACAACAGTGGCGAGAAGTGCGAACAAAATGAGACTGAATCACAACTCTACCTAAAGGCCTTGTTGCGCGGGCTTGACGAGGCGTTAAAAAGGCGCAAAACAAATGCGAAAAGCCAGTCTGTTTCAAAAGAGAGTGCCACATTGAGGGTGCAGTCTGGGGGCACACCCAGGGCGTCTCCGGTGGCGGCGGAAAAGGGTGCCCTGGAGGTGTGGATGGAGGCGCAGCGTGGGAAGCACCGCATCACCCGCAGTGCAGAGGCGTTTAGTAAAAATCGGTCGCTGGTAATTGCCATCAACAAGGGGCGCTTTCCCAGCGATGCGAGTGCCCCAATATCGGAGGCGGTTAGAAAATGGGAAAACGAGGATCACCACCAAAGCCACCCCATTCGCCATAACCATGATCAGCAACAGGAACCGCGGCAAATAATAGAGGTTACTGATGACGGTGAAGTGGATGAAAAAAATTGTCAGGGAGCATCCACGTCGTCACCCAAAGGCTTTAATGAGTTTCCGACCCTCTTGGAGAGGTTAAAGCGTGAGCCTGTGCAGAGTTGGAGATTGATTCATAATCTTACAGAGGAACCAGAGCCACCCGTTAGGGAGCGACGACACCGTGCGACTTGCAGAACTGTGGACTCTATGTTTGTAGAAAGGTTGCGACATAAATTTGACTATGTAAGTTACAAGGAACAGTTTAATCTGGATAACGCTTTGGCCGCGAGGGATGTTTGCCGCTATATGGTGATGCGGCATGAGGCATCCACCAACGGCCAACCTCCGCTACGCGCACTGGCTGGTGTGTTTAAACGAGATTCTATGCGTTTTACCACGAGGGGTAAGGAAGCACCGCTTGCTTCCAACGAAGATTTTCTTCGGAGATGTGTATGGATGAAAAGAGCAGGCGAGATTGCGCTTGAAGAAGAGCGGCAGCGTATCATTGATGGAATTCAGGCCTTTGAGCTCCGCGTGCAGGCGGCTTCTCTCTCCAAGGAGGCTGTGGACAAGCTGAAAAAGGATCTTGTCAAAGTACTGAAACAGTGGCCGTGCAGTTACCGGAAGCACCACGTTTTTACAAGGGCTGACTTTGTGGAGTGGGTGAGGAAGCGCAACAAACTGCAGCGGATGGCAGGCAATGACCAAGTGCAGTGGCAGAGTCTGGCAGAGTCCATGGCTTCCCGTGCAGAGGCTTCATTCATTGAACATGTTTTGGCCCTTTTGCCGCAAGACAAAGGCGTTCATGCCACTCGAAGGCCCGCAACCGTGCAGTAGAAAAGGAGGTGTGTTGCCTCACTTCATTGCTGCTGCTATTTTATGTCCTTGCCATGTAATTTAGTTTTGTCCACCTTCTATTGGTTCTGCTGGTGGACGAGAGGAAGCTCCAACCAGAGGCACCAGCCCACCGGGGTATAATTTTTGCCTTCTTGGTTTGAGTGCGCGTTTCCTTGAATTTTTCAGAAATGTGCTTGTTGTCGCTGCTACATAAGTGGGAGCACTGTTTTATTATGCGTATTCGTTTCTTTCTTTATCGAAGGCCTTTTTTTTTCCTTCTCTCTCTCTCTCTCTCTCTCTTTTATCTTCTGTATGAAGAATCCTATACTATTGGTATACTTCATGTAACGAACCCCAGTGGTTGCGGCGCCTCAAAAACTACCGCTTTGTCATGTTTTGAAGAACCGGTTTGTTCTAGAACGCCTTTATGTATCAGTTGTTTACATGGTGTGTGCCTGTGTGTTGGATGAATCTTGTTCTGAATCGAGGGGCTGCTGTTGTGGGCACACCGGGTCAGAACGGTAATATTGTCCTTTGTTGTTTTCATTTTGTCGTATAGTAAGAGAAGGCGAAGATTCAATTTAAGCGCATATTTGTCTTCTCTCTCTCGTATTGTTTGAGGATGTGACTTGCGAGGCAAGAGGAACCGCGGTGACAACAACAAAACAGGAAGAAGAGGAGGACTTTACCCCATAATTTTTTTTTTTGTTTTCCATGCCATTTGTGTGTGTGTGTGTGTGTGTTTCTTCCATGGGTAGTAGTCTTGCTTTTTTTTTTTTCTCGCCTGGCCGTGCAGTGGTAAGGGGGGAGCGTGCATTGGATCTCTGTCTCTCTACATGGATGAGAGTGTGAGTAACTGAAGAGTAAATTAGAGGACTTCCACTGTTTGGATGCGTGGGGCCACACTCAGCGAGGAGGAAGTGGAGTCACTTCGCGAGGGCAACCCTTTGATGGAAGGTGTAATAAGCTATGTCTTTACCAAGGCAGCTGCGATTGCTCAGCGCCAGGATGTTGTGCACTTTTTGGACCCGGTTGTGGCGCACGCAATGTACGCCTTTGACGATGCCTCATTGGGGGCTCTCGATGAGATGTGCCGCATGCTGGTTGTTGCCCTTCCAATTGCTGAATACAAAGGGGATGCTTACGACGGTGTTCACTGGAGCCTTATCATCCTCAAACGGAGGAGCGCCGATGTACCGTTTGAGGCCTTTCGACTCGACAGCCTCTGTGACGTGAACGCCACCCGCTGTCTGTCATTTTTACGTCTGCTTCGAAGCTGTTCTACGTGCAGGAACCACATACCACAGAGTAGCACAATCATGGACTTTCCTTCGCAAACGAACAATGTGGACTGCGGGTGTTTTGTTTCCATGGCCGCCCTTCACGTGGCTGAGGTGGTAAAGAAGTGGAATGGTGGCGGAGGAGGTGGTGCTGCGAGGACTATTTTTGACGAGCAACTGGAGTTCCCACACCAGTTTGATGCATCGCGCTTCCGGCGCACTCTGTTGAACGAAATTCTTCAGGAACGTCTTTGATGTCATCTTACTTGCTCATCAAATATTGCACCTTTTGTTTTTCTTCCACTGAGTGTGTGTGTGTGTGTGTGTGGGTGGGTGGGTGTTTTATTCTTGTGCCCCTCATCCTTTCGTCTTCTTCCGCACATCAATCTTTTTGCCTCATTATACTGCTTGTGTTTGTCTGTGCCTGCGCCCCCGCTTCTGCTGACCTTACTTTTATGAACGCATAATCCTCTTTTTTTTTTATGGTGTTTTGTGCCGCGCGGGTGGGGCTTTACTGCGGTCGTAAGGGATTTGTTGTGATTCTCCACAGGATCGAATCCTTGGTCGTCTAACCACCACCACGATATACGAAAAGTACAGACGAAAGGAATATTTGTTAGGAAAGCAGTAAACACAAGAGAAAAATCTAAGCAGGGTGTTGCAAGCTCGAAGACAATTGACGTAAACACAAGGGGTAAAGGAAGAAGCGGAATAAGCAGGGAGAACTTCCTGAGCATAAATCGAAATAAGGGAAATTTAACAAGGGAGAAGAAGGAATAAACGTGTGCTGACAGAAACAAAGCAATGACTGCCACACAGGAAGAAATCACGCCAACTATCCCCCTCTCTAAGCCGCTGCAGGTGGCCTCGCTCTACGTCGGCGACCTTGATCCCGTTATCAACGAGCCGCACCTTGTGGAGCTGTTTAAACCGTTCGGCACCATTCTGAATGTGCGCGTCTGCCGTGACATTATCACCCAGCGTTCGCTGGGCTACGGGTACGTGAACTTCGACAACCATGACAGCGCTGCGAAGGCAATGGAGGCTCTGAACTTCAAGCGGGTGGGTGATAAATGCGTTCGCATCATGTGGCAGCAACGTGACCCGGCATTGCGCTACAGCGGAAACGGCAACATTTTTGTAAAGAATCTCAAGAGTGAAATAGACAGCCGTGAGCTCAGTTTGCTGTTTAAGAAATTTGGCGACATTCTCTCCTGCAAGGTGATGGAAGATGAGGGGGGCAAGAGCCGTGGTTACGGGTTTGTGCACTTCAAGGAAGACCAAGCGGCAAAGGAAGCCATTGATAAAATGAACGGTGAGAAGGATCACGCCGATGAGACAAAGGATATGGGGTTGTGTGTTGCCAACTTTATCCGTCGCAACGCTCGCCTTGCTACTTTGGTCGCGAACTTTACAAACGTTTATATCAAGCAGGTGCTGCCAACGGTAGATAAGGAAGTCATTGAGAGGTTCTTCTCCAAGTTTGGCGGCATTACAAGTTCCGCGACGTGCAAGGACAAGAATGGTCGTGTATTTGCTTTTTGCAACTTTGAAAAACACGAGGATGCAGTCAAGGCGATAGAGGCATCTCATGAGCAGTTTGTGGATGGTGTCACACCGCCAGGGGAAACGCTTTACGTGCAACGTGCCCAACCAAGAAGTGAACGCCTCATTGCGCTAAGACAGAGGTATATGCAATGCCAGTCTCTTGGGAACAACCTCTACGTTCGTAACTTTGACCCGGAATTCACGGAGGAGAATTTGCATGAATTGTTTAAGGAGTATGGCGTCATTCGCAGCTGTCGGGTGATGACGGATGCAAACGGTAACAGTCGTGGTTTTGGTTTTGTCAGCTTTGAAAATGCCGATCAGGCGAATGCCGCGCTGCGTGAAATGAACGGTCGTATGTTAAACGGCAAACCACTTATTGTCAACATTGCCCAGCGAAGAGACCAGCGATTTATGATGCTTCGCTTGCAATTCCAACAGAGACTACAGATGATGATGCAAAGAATTCACTCCATGCCATTTGGCTCGCAAGGTCAACCGCCGAAGCGTCGCAACCCACGCAGCGCACAGCGTGGTGCTGTTGGTGGTGGCCGACATCACCCTCCCCCGCCAGCCCATGCCGCAGCCGCAGCCGCAGCCGCAGCCGCAGCCTATGCAGCAGGACATGTTCAATACCCCATCCATGGCCTTTGCACCGCCGCGCACGCCGCAAGCATCCCCTGGTGTCGCCCCCGACACACCGCCGCTGCCGCCCATCACTGCTGAAGATCTGCGATCCATGACGGTTGACGAGCAGCGTGCAGCCCTGGGAGATCGCCTGTACATCAAGGTCTTTGAAATTGCACCTGACCACGCACCGAAAATTACCGGTATGTTCTTGGAGATGGACCTCAAGGAGGCATTTACACTCCTGTCTACCCCTAGACTTCTTCATGAGAAGGTCGTCGAGGCCCTCTGCGTCCTAAAGGCGCACGAAACTACCGCGTAACTGAAACACCCTTGAGGGTTTGATCTTTCGACACAAATAATGGTGTTTTTCCGCCAAGGGAGCCCACAACATCCCCAAAGAAATATTAAAGTTGAACAATAATATTATAAAGCAACAAGGCTAAAAAAAAAGAAAAAGAAAAAAAAACGAACTGTGTACATGTACGTTAAATCTTTATAATGTTTGAGGCACACGTAAAATATTGCTTGTTTTTTTTTAAGTGAGGTTCAAAATTCAACAGTGCGATGCAGAACAAGCAAAAAAAAAAAGTGTGGGAGCGAGGGGAGGGAGCGAAAGAAAGAAGACAGACGATGGAGAGGAGTTGCATTTATTGACTGCTTTGACGTTTTCTCTTTTCTCTTTATTTGTGCTCTTGCTTGATATCCGCCATACATGAATATATATATATATATTATTATTATTATTATTTTTGCCACACTTACGCATACACACACACACACACACACACGTTGACTCCGACAACAGATAATTATTTCTTTCTCTGTGTTTTTCCATCTCTTTTTTGTTGTTGTTTTAGTACACGCAGGGGAGATGCGCAAAAATCCGTATCTGGCGCACTACTTTGGTGCCGCGTTGGACTCCAGTTGTGAGGAGGGGGTAAATGCAGCCACTGGTTTTGTGCATTTTCCTAACTCAAAGCATATGACGCAGCGGGTGTTCCGTCCATCGCGGGGACTGGAGCCATCGAAGGAGCCTCATACGCCTGTCCATACGCCAACTTCGAACCTCACTGCAGGCATCCGGATGCCCACAACAGAAGCACTTGGTGACTTTCCATCATCGCCTCCAGAATGGAGAAATAGACTACCCCCTCTGTCCCCGTCAGCTTCACTACGCTCTACTCCAGTAGAGATGTACACAACTCGACGAGATTCATTGCATAGTGACATTGCAACGACACCATCTGACTCGCCAGAGAATATTTACGCATCGCAAACCCCACAACACCTAAACGCTGTAATAAAGATAGAGCCCCCTGGATGGGATCCGAGGATTAGACAGTCGCATGCTGCTCTTGCACAGGTAAACAAAATATTAGATATGGACAAGAAAACCACTGCCGTAGCTCCACCTATTCTTGGTGGAGTCCCTGGTGTTGTTACGTCTGGTGAGAGGCAAGAGGAGGCTGAAGGTGAACCACAGGTGTCGCTTACTAAAACGCCTTGTGAGGGAGAACTTATTCCGCCGGGTTCTACCTCCTCTTGTGCACCGATGAGTTCTGTTGGACGTCACACTGTTGACGCTTCCGTCCCGTCAGAGTCGCTAACGGCGTTGAAGGCGGCAGAAGTATCTCCACATGGTTTAGTTCTAGATGCGTCTCCACGGGAAGAGGGGGAATATATCGTGCCAAGCCCGACCTCTTCCTCTGCGCCGACAAACCGGGTTGGTTCTCATCCTGATCCATCGGCCTTTCAGAAGTCGGTTGCATCGTTTCCGTTTCAAACAAAGTGTCTTGTTTTGACACCAAACCCTGATGCCGCTGCGTGTGCTTTGAAGCGTTGCTCACGTCGACCGCCTTACGTTTCGGCGACGCAGAATAGAGAAAGCGCAGTGCCGGGAGGGCCAGCCGTACATGAGAGGGAACCGCCTGTAGTTTCCGCGGAGCGGCCTTGCTCGCAGCCCAATGGCGATGAGAAGTCTAAGAAGCGAAACAAAAACGATGGTCTTATTTCGGTCGCCTCACTCTACGGTATATTGGAAAGACTGGCTAATGTTATGCGTGCGCAGCCTGATGTTCACCTGGTGGATTCCAATGGCGCACCGAGAAGGTTGGACGCCTCAAGTGAGCCACAACACAGTTTGAACACCTCAATTGAAAACCGACAGAGTGGTAGGATGAACCGCAAGGATCCCTCCATGAGGACACCCACCGTGGAACCAAAAGTTTTGATGGGTAATGCTCCAAGAGTCGAAGGGAACGATTTTTTTGTAAATGATCATCATGAAGCTCTTAACTCGGTAGTGCCGACTTCGCAACTTCAACCCGTTGGTGTCACTTTACAGCGTCCGGTGCCTATTCAACGGCGAGCGGCGAGCGCCCGACGTCCAAGTTTAAACCGCGCGCCGGGAATGCCGAGTTATGCCTTACCCACGGAGAGTTGGCTCTGTAAGGGGGTAGAGCTCGATGACGACCGTGTTGAATCCAGTTGTATCACGGAGGGGACCAAAAATAAGGGGGCTCTGCGTTAAAGCTTTCTAATTTAGCTGGCAGTGGTTGCTAATGAATATATATATATATATATATAATACTCGTTGGTAGTCTGTGGCTGTGAATGGTGGTGTATTTTCATGTATAGATATGTGATCTGTTGTTGGTACTTATTACCTTCCTTTTTCACAGGAAGCCATCTTCTTTGTTGTTATTTTGCGTCTGTTTTTTTCTTTTTCTTTTTCCTTGGGGTTTTCTATTTTCTATTTTTTTTTCTCGAGCTGCCAAAAAATTGGCCCGCAAAGCCAAAAGAGGAGGGAACAGCAGCAAAAAGAAAGTGAGCAATCCTCTCAGTCTTTCGTTACCTTCTTTTTCCTTTCACTTTGCTGTGAGATTCAAATGGCTCGTTCTCTTCTGTGTGTTCTTCTGTTATGTGGGGGTGCCTTTGCGGCGGCCGTACTGAACTACGTCTATTATGAAGCCGCAGGAAGGAAGGAACAGATGTCGAACGTTGCTGAGATAGAACAGCTGCTCGCTGTTACGAGGAAGTCACTGATGATTCCCCCAAGAAATGCCTACGAGGCTGAGAACACCTATATGGCCAGTGTGGAACGCCTCAAGGAGGCACGGACGAAACTTAGTCGCTTCAGTGGGGAATACGTGGAGCGCTTGCTGCGCGACGCGGACCAGCTGGAGCAGAGCGCAAATAACATGGTGCTACGGAAAAGCAACCCAGTAGATGTGCTGCTTGACGTGGACTTCGACGTGGAGGCGGTGGAGGGCGACTTGGATGAGGTGGCAGCGGCGGAGCAGGAGATGGAAAAACTCGAAGGAAGGAAGAAGCAGGGCGGACGCAAGACAAAAAACAAGAAGTTGCAGACAAAGGTAGAGAATACTGAAACGAAGGAAGAGGTAATAGGTGCGTCTGACCTTACGCTGCAAGCTTCGATGACGCAGAAGGAAGAAAGCGAAGAAGCAGTCATCGCCGAATCCGCTGAAGCGGAGGTTGAGGAGGTGGCAAAGTATGCCGAATGCACTAGCACTGATATACCGCAGGAGGCTCTTGGTGAAGGACGATGCTTGCGGATTCCGGATACACCGTTGGTGCGCCTGGATTTTGCCACACCTGTGGAGTACGATGGTATAGAGTGCCGGTGCCGTGTGAATTTGTACCGTGTTGTTGTCATGGCACTTACGTACGGGGCGCCTTCAACGATGACAATCCCTATTGTGGCCACCGAGGATGATTTGCAACCCGTGAACGTTGAAGAAGAACTGCAAGCTGTGGAAGATGAAACAAAGCTTGTGGAATTGGATGACACAACCGCAACAGCCGAGCTTTCCAAGCAGCTTGTGGCCGAGTATGACGCTATATTAGGAGAGAAGGAAGAAGAAGGTGCTACAGAGTTGCTGCCGTTGGTTGTGTTACCCAAGTTGCGTGACTTGTTGCGCGTGTTTACTTTTTTGCCGTGGGTGATTCTCATGTGTCATGGTGGATATTTTGCGGGCGGAGTATTTGTGGACAACAAGCCGGTGGTTCACAAGGCCTTTCAGCGCTATGTTGTGCGTAAGAAGCAGGGTGGGAAGCAGTCTTCCAGTGAAAAGGAAGGGGGTAGTTACGGCAGTGTGGGGTCCCAAATACGGCGCGCGCAGGAGATTAAATGGAAAATGGACGTTAGGGATATTCTCTTGAGCTGGCGCAATTACATTGATGCTGCAGCCATTGTGTTGTATGTTGCACCAGGGCCGCAGAACCGTGCCGTGCTGACGGATTTTTCAGGGTTACCAGCCATCACGACAGGAAAAGGTGAAAGGGCAGTATCACCGGTCAGCGTGCAAGACCCTCGTGTGCACAAGGCGCCACTAACTACACACCGCCCGACGTTTCAAGAAGTTCAGCGCATATACAAGACGGTATCTACATGTACCGTTGAGTACGTTAGGTACCTGGAGTAAGAATTTGTTAATAACCTTCGTACTTGATGATGAAGATTTCCCTTGTTTACGGGTGCATTTGTAAGAGTCAAGGTGCGTCGTGCGTTGTTTTTTTTTTTTTTTTGTCTGTTAATGCGGGTGTGCTTTATAATAAGGAGCATACTTTGCCAAATGGGGAAGGATCACTTTTTTGTGCCTGTTTTTTCCTGTGATGTTTGCGTATTTTTCTTTTCTCCTTTACGCATGCTTCTGTGTCTAGTCGCTTCCTGGGGAGCGAGAGGAAAGTAAGGCCGCGGGGAAGCATGTCTGATGACGATGAAGATATAATCGTACTCCAAGTTTGTGCCAACAAACGGTGTTTGGGTATTGAGGACCTCCAATTCGATGAGGAGAGTGGCGAAATGTACTGTGTGAATTGCCGTGAGTTGTATGCCCGCACAGAGAAGGAAGGTTTCCGGCTGCTTTTAAACGATGAGGAGCTGCCTGTTATAGCCATGATTTTTAATTGCTTTGACGGGGGCAAAGGGTACTGGACCTACATGGACTTTGACCGGTTTCGGAACTATACAGAACACTCCAATGAGGCCGCTATAGACGGCCACGAGGCCCTACGAGACTTCTTCAAGGAGGAGTATGACATTGAGATTTCCAAGGGCGTAACAGGAGAGTACGTAATACTCAAAGAGAATTTGGAAGACATGTATGGAGGGTATATCTATAATAACACAAATGCGCTTAATGCAGACTGTGATTTGTTAGAGGAAGCCGGGATGATCCACACGGAGACGCTGGAATAACGGTGAATTTGGTTATTGCAGGTTAAGAAGGGAGAAAGAGAGAAAAAGGTTGCGGCGTGACAGTAACGCAGCGCCATTATTATTACCTTTATTCTTAGCTCGTCGATTCTTATCAAGAAGAAGGGCGAACACAACAAACACACGCACAAAAACACACAGAGGGGAGGAGGGGGGGGGGGGGGGGAGTGGCAAGAACGGAGGGATAATAAGAGGAGGGGTACAAACGAAGGAAAGGAAGGGAAAGACTATATATATATATGTATAGTTCTTTTCATTTTTTGTCCTTTGTTGTGTGTTATTGACTTTCCATGGAAGACAGATTTCTGCTTTATTATTTGGATAATGAACGGACACGGCGGCTGCTTTTTATTTTTATTTTTTTCCCATTGGTGTGTCATGCTTTTCCCAGTCTGAACAAAAAGCGTAGTAATGAATTTTCCCCGATCATGTCTTTTCGGTCGAGTGTACTGTTGACTTTCTTTCTTTCTGGTTTGCTCATTGCCTCTTTTTGAACACGTTAAAGGCAAATGACCCCTTTTAAGCTTCCCCACCTATGTGCGTTTGAGAGCTATGCCGAGATTGCTGTTGAGTTGGCGACGCTACGTCAGCTGCCGAAGTACGCGGATTTTGAGAAACTGCTTCGGGATGAGCTTCAACGAATTTATGGAGGTGCACCTGAGGAGTTTCGTGGCGTCATCACCTACAGTACGCGGGAGACACCGCAGCGTTTTACAGGTTGCTTCACAGAGTGTCAGCTGGAGACCTTGCACCAGTATGATGCTACCGTCGAAAAGGCAAAATCTCTAGGTAGTGAGTATCAAACAGCCGTTGAGGAGCATGAGCGTGTTGTAGAGGCGAACAAGGATCGAAAACGCACGCAAAAACGGATTAGGGAAGAAGCAAAGTCGAAAAAACGTCTCCACAAGATGCATCACGGTGTTGTCACGGCAGAATATGAAGTGGAATGTCTCGCCCTGAAGTTAAAAAACCTTTTTGCCATTGATGTGATCCGCGTCCCACTAAACTGAGGGGGGGGGGGAGGGGAGGGGAGAATGCGTATATATGTGTATGCATTGTCTGAGTGCCAGGAAGGTAGTTCCCATCCATGGTGTGTTGAACACTGCCGTAGGTCCTGAAATCATCCACGCTATCTGTCCCTATCCATGTGAATAGGTTATATATATATATATATATATATATTCATTGGTGGAATCTCTACCCCATCCCACCAGGGGCTTATGTTATGTAATATTTGCTTGATGACCCTTCCGCTTCTTGGTACGTGTATCTTGCCTTTAATGCGAGCTGTGAGGTCTTTTCAAGTGGTTTTTGTTGTGATTTTCCGGATGTTATATGTTTTTTTGTTTTTTTTTTGTTTTTTTCTACGGGCTGCCGCTCAAACACAACCTCGGCCGTGTCTGTTTGGTGTCGCTTTTGCCCTGCCGGGCTCGAAGAGAAGAGTGTAAGGGTGGCTGTGGAAGATGACAGATTCCTGTGAGCCGCCTCGAAGCCGGGTGCGGGTAGAGCCGAACATACCGCGGGACTTCAGTAGCCTCCCTTCGGTGCAAGAAATGATCGATGCAAACAACCGCCAAACGAGGCCGAAGCGTCGGCTGAAGCACTTTGAGTTTATTAACGAGGTCTTCACACGAATTGGGGAACGTGCAGTCGACGACGCCGCCATGGTCGCCGTTCTCTCCAGCTTCCTTCAGGAATGTGTGGAAAGGCACGGCACCCTCCCTCGTAGCTCGGCGCTGGCCAAAGTTCTCTACCAATGGTCAGAAAGGGGCTTGGTGATGGAGGGGCAACGATTGCTAAAACAAATCCTGCAGGCGAACCCGTCGTTACACAAGAATGCCATTGATGAGAAGGTTGCAACTGTATCCCTTCGTCTGCTTGGTCGTTCCTCAAATGTGGACGTGGATCTCATGAATAGCATTCTTTCAATGCTACCAGAAGGAGCCCATAAGAGGCGTCTGTTTTTCCCTCTACTTGAACACGCCGCACGAACTGGGGACACCGCACTCGCCTTCAACACGCTGAGGCTGGGGCAAAGCAAGAGGATTGAGTTCTGGGATGTGGATTATCACCAGCTGCTCCGTAGCATTCAAAACGCTTTGACGGACAGCAGCAGTACGGCAATGTTGTTGGATGAGCTACTGGAGTCCATGGTGGACCATCACCCTGTTGTCGGTAAAAGCAACGGGGAATCGCTGCAGCGCCTGATGGGGGGCGAGATGGCAGGCGTCAACGATAAAACTGGGGAATGCAGTCGGTGTGGGGCAAAACTAAAAACGTTTGATTTCTCCTTCACAGATCGCACCACTCTACTAAACGACATTGAAACAAAACTGATAGCCCCACGGGTGGAGAGTGGAAATCACTATGAGCAGGAACGAGTTGTGACGCCGGCAGAAAAGGAACGGCGATGGTGTGAATTTGAGGCGTTTAAGCAAGCACTTACAAGCTGCGATTACGATGCCGTCATTGATGGCGCAAATGTGGGGTATTATGGACTTAGTAGTTGGTATCGAGAGGCGAAGGAGGCGTGTTTGCGTGCTCGTGGCGTGGATCCGACGGCCGTGCCGGAGCATCAGCTTTGTGAGGTGCCGTTACCAGTTGATGTCCCACCGAAGTTTTCGCTTATTGATGAAATGCTAACGCAGACGCGACGTATTGGGAAAAAGCCGTTGGTGATGCTGCATAAACGTCATGTGGAGTCACCTTCCAAGGAGAGTGCGGAGTGGCTGTCAAAGTGGAACAACGACTCTGCTCTAATTGCATGTCCTGGATTTCTTAATGACGACTATTGTTGGTTGTATGCAGCTATTCGTAAGCCGGATTGTTTTTTTGTCTCGAATGACCAGATGCGAGACCATCATTTTATGCTGCTTAGTCGTCGATCATTTTTGCGATGGAGGCAGCGGCATCGTGTGACGTACAGGGCTTTGTTTCAACGAGCGACAGGTAGTACAACGTTATTCCTTGCATTGCCGCGACCCTTTTCCGTCTGGGTGCAGCGAGGACTGCTCACACGGACGCATTGGCATGTGCCTGTTCTCTTGTCAGCCGATGTCATTGATCAAGCAACGAACAACGCCGCTGGAAAGGATGTGGAGGTGGATAAGGATGGTGATGATTCGTGTGACGTGTGGCTTTGCACAGCCGCAAAGCATCTTATTAATCGAAGTGAGTAGCCTTCTTACTACTCTCGATGTGGTAGTGGTGGTGATGGTGATTGGATCATTTTGTTCTCCTACGTTTTCTTTTTCCATTTTTTGTTTCTTTCCTTCTCTCTGTGCAGAGAGAGAGAGAGAGAGAGTCAGCTCTTACACCCACCCATGCATATTCCTTTTTCCTAGTTGGTTGTGTTGTGTGTGTGTTATTAATTATCATTATTATTATTGTTGCTGTTGTTGTGTTCCTTTGTGTTTTGGTTTGCTGTTGGTGCTACTTGTTTCTGCTCGTGGTGCAATGTGTCTGTTGGTTTGGTGGTCCTAACTTTTTTTTTCTTTGTTTGTTCTGCTCTTGCCGACTCCAGGGATCTCGCTGAGTGTAAGAGGAGATGACGAAGGGTACCACATCTATGGGACAGCGCCATGGGCGCACCCACATCCTCTGCCGCCGCTGTGGCCGTAACGCGTACCACGTGCAGTGGGAACGCTGTGCGGCGTGCGCCTACCCGCGTGCGAGCCGCCGCCGCTACAACTGGTCCGTTAAGGCCATCAAGCGCCGTCGCACTGGCACGGGCCGCTGCCGCTACCTGAAGGAGGTCAACCGCAGAATCAAGAACCACTTCAAGACCACCATCAAGGCATGAGATCTGATGTTTCTGTTTTATTGACGACGTTGTTGTTCTTTCGTATCTTTACCATATCTTGTTTTTTTATTATAACTTTTTTTTTTCTTTGCTGTGTGTGTGTGTGTGTGTTTGCCGCTTCTTTGCACTTCCTCCTTTTTTGCATGGAAGAAGTGGTAGCGGTAAACTGCCAGTGTACACGTGTGTCTTTGTTTTTTTTTTTCTCTCATTCTTTGTGTCTAAGGGAGTGTATTAGATACCGTGAAATTAGCATACATGGTGCTTGTCGTGGCGCTCATTTTTTTCATACTTCTTCTTTTTACCCTCGCTGCGGCGGCTGGCGTGACTGCGCGCTATGGAGGACGACGTTTTCCGCGGGGTACAGTTGGTTTTTTGCACCCCTCCGCCGCGTCAGGTGGGGGAGGAGAGCGGGTGCTGTGGGTTGCCATGCGTGCTATTCAGTTAGATGATATGAACCGAGGCATTAAGCGCCGCTATGTTCTCTACTGTTCCCGTGGCGCGGGTACCAGTGATGATGATGATGCAAACGGAGCAAATCGCCTGCTACAGACAGTGCAGGAGCAGTTTCAGATTCTCCTTCCAAAGCCTATTGAGGTGGCCTTCTTAAGGCCCTCCTTGACACGGTGGCTCAACGGTGAACAGTACCCGTTTATGACGCTTCTCTTGCAGGTCGTATGCGGAAGTCTTCTTCTGTTTTATGAAACCTGCATTGTAAATAGCATCACACCCATCGTCATTGAGAGTGTAGGAATTCCAGGGATCTACCCCCTCCTTTCTCTCCTGGCCGGTGCCCACATCATCAGCTACACACATTACCCTGTCATCACATCCATCATGGCACAGCGGGTGCAAAGTGGGGAGAAACGGTACAATAACCGAGGCTTTTGGGCACGTCATCACACACTGCGACTGATGAAGGTTGTGTACTACAAATTGTTTGCACTTTTCTATTGGTGGTTGGGGCAGTTTCCGTATCTCACCATGACCAACTCACAGTGGACGACGCGACACATTGAACAACTATGGAACCCCGTCGTCCCAACACTTGTCTACCCTCCCTGTGCAGTCAAACAATTTCTGTCGTTGCGAAAACCGCCTGAGAAGCGCGGTAACACCATCGTAAGCGTTGGCCAGTTTAGACCAGAGAAGAATCATCTTCTTCAGCTGCGCGCCTTTGCCAGGGCACTTCCTCACCTGCCAGCCGATGCCCGACTCATTATGGTGGGTGGGGCCCGCTCTGCAGACGATAGAAAACGGGCGGCAGATGTCGAGAAGGAAGCGAAATCAAGAGGCATCTCCGACCGCGTGGAAGTGCGAATTGGGGTGCCGTTCGCTGAAGTGGGTGAATTACTCTCAAACTGCTGTATAGGGCTGCATACGATGGAAGATGAACATTTTGGTATAGTTGTTGTAGAGTACATGGCATGTGGTTGTATTCCGCTTGCGCACAACAGTGGTGGTGTGTGCCTGGATATTATTATGTCATCGGAAGTGGGCTTTTTGGCTGCATCCGAGGAGGAATTTGCCAGTCGCATGGTGGAGATCGTTGACATGAAAGTTCAACGTCCGCACAAGTACAAGCGTTTCCAGGATGAAGGGTTAACTGCAATTATGCGCTTCAGTGATGAAACATTTCAAGAGAACTTTATGACGGCGGTTCGCCCTCACCTCCTCCTGTGAAAGGGTTAAGTTGTGTACCTGCTGCGCCAATGGCGACGGTTTTTTATTTTATTTTTCCGTTTTTATATTCAGCTGAGTTTGTGTGTGTGTGTGTGTGTGTGTGTGTGAAGCAACATTTGTGAATCCATCATCATCCTTCTTTTTTTTCGCCGTTTTTTTTTTTGTTATGTGTGTGTGTGTTGATGTGGCAATGCGGCGGTGAGGGCGCCATGGCGGGCTTCTCTGCGCTGGACGAACAAATCAACGCCCTGAATGCCCTGCACATCAGCAGCTCCAAGACACTGGAGAGTTTTGCCGACACCTCCAAGGCGATTGCGGACCGCGCCCGTCGTATTGCGGCCGATGTGCAGCCGTGGGAAGTGGCGCAGGAGAATATCGCCTCCACCATTAAGGAGATGTCGAGGGCGGCCCGCTGCTATCACCCTCCGCCCGCACTGCGGCTTGTACTGGCACGAAGGGAGAAAAGCCCAGAGGTGGTGTGCAAATGCATTGACTACTTAGTGTTCACCGACAACTACCTCGCGTCGCACCCAACAAATCCCTACGCTGACCAGATCGCGGCAAGTACTGCAGCGCAGCTGGCAACTGTAGTTGAGGTCGCAGAGGACACCGTGAAGGAGGCGTTTATTAAATCTCTGGAAAAGAAGGAGTTGTGGCAATCAGGCGGAGCTGAGAAACGCAAAGGGGTTACTGCTCCAGTGGCAGCGGAAAAGACGTCTATGCTTATTCACGATATTTCGGCACTACGAGGAATTGACCAAATTATGCACCGACTTGGTGAGAGCTTTAATCGCAATGACGTGGCCTCTCTGGATGTGAAGGAGCTCCTTGCGGAACGAATGCTTCGTCTGGTGGATACCCTATGTGGCAACTCTTGTAAAGAGGATGAGATGCAGTCGTATGCTATTCTGCCAGCACGACACGACATTGCACCGATGCGGAAGCATTACCAAAAAGGATGCCATCCGCTGTTGGGTATATCTGCAACTGCTCGACAGATTGTTAGTGATGCGGGGGATTGCCTAAAGCAGTATGTGCTGGAGCCATTGAATGATGCCTTTGAAGTTGTGGGAATGCCTGGGGAATTGGGCACCCTCGTCTTTGACCGCATCAAGACGAAATGCTTTGCCGCTGTAGAAGTGAACGCTGCGGTTTTATCGAACCCTACATTGATGTTCGTTCTGTCTGGAGGGGAGGGCATTGGTCTCTTGGGTGGCACCCGCCACTACCGTGATGCCATCTTTATTGGACTAGACTTGTTGGAGGAGCTATGGAAATGGAAGAGTCTCGCAGAGGGCCTACCAGGCGAAAATCATGTCTTTATTGATTATGTTGATAGTGAAGTAGAACGATTTCTGTTTGAGGTGCGAGATCTGTTGGACTGTTATGTGAGGTGTAAGGGAGCCCTCGACGCCAAGCTTCTCAAGGAGTATAGTAATGCCTTACACCGCACAGAGTGGGTGCCCTCGCTGGACTGCTCAGCCCACGTGTCCGTCACCAATCAAGTTTACCTGCACAAACACATGCTGACACACTACTTTGGTGCCATGAAGTTGGCACTTCATGGCACACTGCTGAATGCCTCCTCCGAGGTGGAGGCACTGCAGGAGGTGGAGGACTACATGATGCGGTGCGTTTCGGGGACACTGCGTGACCTGGAGGTTATTGCGGAGGTTGCGCTGGAGCTGCAAAGCGACACCATAAACTATGGTGGGTATCGTCACTGCCGCCGGCATGCTTCTTTCTTGTCGTTGCCGCTTGTTCAACACCATTCCTCAGAGCGAGGCCATGTCATTTCGCCAGATATATTTTTGTTGAACAATATATTTTTTTTGGTTGAAAGTTACCGCAAGGAGGATTGCTTCTACCAATGTCGATTGCCAACAGAGAACCCCGAAAGCTCCAAGAAGGAACCAACGGCGGAGGTGCCGTCTGTGCCAATCGCTGCCAACATCATCGTCATGCTAGAGGATGAGAAAAAACGCTACGTGGATGAGTTTGCTGCCTTGTGGTCGGAGTGCTTTCCAGCCGTAAACGGCAATCCGCAATTGACAAGCATCACGCCGGAGAGTGGTGAGTTGCGGAAATCGCAACGCATGGCAGTGAAGCATTGGTACAAGGCTGTGGCTGATGCCTTAACTGAAAGGATATATGCCTGCCGCACCTTTGCAGTTCTTGACAAGTCACAGCGTAACCTCCTCATTGAAGCCTCTGTCGCCGCTGTGCGAAGTGGGTTTGCCACATTTGAAACAAGGTTAGGAGGGCGGACGTGGTCGACTCGTCCCATGAAGTGGATGGGGCAAGGGGTGGAGCAATGGGCAGACCAATTGAGTAATGCATTCTAAGAGACACACCTTATTTGTGTGCAGTTGCGGCAGCAGCAAGTCCCTTTTGTGTGTGTGGATGTTTGTGGGTTTGTCTGTTTTGCTTCTCTTTTGGCATGTCAGCAGTAATAGCGAGCTTCTGTTGAGGATGGCGTCGCTTACACACTCGCAGGTGTGTGTGTGTTGTTTTTGAATTTCTTATTCTCTCGTTTATCGCACGCTCTGTCCCGCTGCGTTGCCCCCCCCCTGTTAGTTTTCTAGTGTTGCGTCTTGGGTTGGCCCCATGCCTGTGTGGCGGAGAGAACGACCGAAGGCTGCCGCGGTCGCGCTGGGGTCGGGAAGCGACACTGAGTCCTCGTCGGACAACCAGCAGGTGTACTCGAGCTCGGCCTCGGGGTTTTCCCGCTCCGTGGCCTCCTCACAGTTCGGAGGACAGCTGCCACCCCGGCGACTGCCTCGACGTGGCCTCCGTTACAGCCCTCGGCGTCGGTGCTGGCAACACTTCAGGCATGTTGCTTTCGTCACGGAATGATACTCTTCCTCCAGGTATGCTACCATCTTGTCAGTTTGGGCGAACGCATTCCAATCCTGTTTTGGCGAGCGCCTTGTGGGAGACAGATTCTGTTCGCAACGCGTCTTTCCACGGAGGTCGCACCGTTGTCTCAAGATTGTTGCAAAAACAACGCCTTACGGAGACGATGCGCGTGCTTGTCATTGGCGCTCCGCAGGTGGGAAAGTCTTCGTTGATAAATAGTTACCGGGCAGCTGTGACCAACAATGCAAAGTGGCCTGCCGCACCGGTGGGTATTTGTGGTTTTTGTGGAACAACCACCATTGATCCTTTTCCCAATCATCCCACCGAACCGACATGGTTGTGCATCGACACGCCGGGAAGGTTCTACGATGCTGGTAGCCGGCGAATCCTCAAAAAACTTTGCTCAGGGGTGCCGTGGAAAACACGTCTTGCCGGTAACGATGCCCTGAGCCCGGAAGAGCTTGAAGGACTTCCTACTGTTTCTGAAAATAGTCCTCATCAGTGCATTGTGGTTGTTCCTGCGACGGATTTGATACAAGACAACGGGTGGACGAGTTTTTTATTTTTTATGTCTCGCTACGAAGCGGCCCCTGACGCGGAAGGTGTTGTCATGAACCTGCAAGGCCTTGTTTCCACTCTCCGCCCCTTTCTGCATGATGCGTCCCCATTTGTTGTGATATCCAAGATGGATCTTGTCGGTGGTGCTGGAAATACGACGGCTCGGCGGGCTATTGTATCTATGCTAACGCGCTGCATTCCAGTGAACCGTTTGTACTTTTGTGCGTGTCCAAATGATGAGTCCTCACACGAGAAAAAACTTCTTCTTCGACTTGATCCGGATACTCGGGTGAGTTTGATTCGGTTACACGAGGATTTGTCGCTAGCTTTTCGGTGGAGGAGATTGCTGGAGGAGGACGCGTAAATGCACTTTGCCTTGTTTTCTTCTTGGAGGAAAATTAGGTATTTGTATACATGCGGACTGGGGATACACTGAGCGGGATGCGTGCGTGTGTGTGTGTGTGAAGAATGATTTATGATTTTTATATGGTGTTCTCTCTCTCGCTATATATATATATATATATATATATA